TATACCCAGAGAAAACCATAATTCAAAAAGACACATGCACCCCAATGTTCATTGCAGCACTGTTTACAATAGCCAGGTCATGGAAGCAACCTAAATGCCCATAGACAGATGAATGGATAAAGAAGATGTGGTACATATATACAATGGAATACTACTCAGCCATAAAAAGGAACTAAACTGGGTCATTTGTAGAGACGTGGATGCATCTAGAGACTGCCATACAGAGAGAAGTAAGTCAGAAAGAGAAAAACAAATATCGTATAGTAATGCATATATGTGGAACCTAGAAAATGGTACAGCTGAACCGGTTTGCAGAGCAGAAATTGAGATACAGAAGTAGAGAAAACACATATGGACACCAAGGGGGAAAAGCGGCGGGGGTCGGGGGTGGTGGTGGGATGAATTGGGAGATTGGGACTGACATGTATGCACTGATGTGCATAAAATGGATGACTAATAAGAACCTGCTGTATAAAAAAATAAACTAAATTAAATGTTTAAAAAAAGGAAGTATAGCCTCTGTGTTTCCTGTTCTGAAAGTTATTTGCTAATGGAAACAACTGTGTCAACATTAGTCTTGAAGGAACCATGGCTGTAAGGTAATTTACAAGAAAGTATATGTTCAAAGAGCAGGCATACCAGGTGTGCACGGGTTATCTTGGGACGGTTATGAGCAGGCTCTGGAACCCAAGGTCAGCACTATGCTGGTTCCTAATCCTGTATTAGATTCTTTCTGACGCTCTAACAAATTACCACAAATGTACTGGCTTAAAACAAAGATAGATATATTCTCCTACACTTCTGGAGGTCAGCTGTCTGAACTGGGACTCACTGGGCTAAAATCAAAGAGTTGAAAGGGCTGTGCTCTTCAAGAGCTTCTAGGGGACAATCCGTTTCCTTGTGTGTTCCAGCTTCTGGAGGAATCCTGTGCTCCCAAGCTCATGGCCCCGCCGCCTTCAAGGCCAGTAATTGTATCATGCTGACCTCTGCTTCCTTCATCACATCTCCTTCTCTGACTCTAAGTCTCCTGCCTCCCTCTTTCACTTATGGACCCCTGTGATTCTATTGGGTCCATCGAGATAATCTACAATAGTCTTCCTATTTTAAAGTCATTTTAATAATGACCTTAATTCCCTTTGTTATCAACCAGGGTTTTTGGCCTCCTTAGTCAGTAGAAATTGATCAGAGGCCAGACAAGAAATTCAGGCAAGGCTTTATTGGGACCCCTGCTACAGCAGGGGACAGCAAGAACAAGTATCATGTTCCCTTGCTAGCTCACTCCCCGAGCAGGAACAAGCTGGTTCCTTACGTGGGGGTGAAGGTAGAGATGCGTCCGGGGCTCGGGCCAGAGAGGTGGCTAGGTGGTCTGCCCACCCCTTTGGCGGTATTGTGCACAGGAGGCATGCACAGTACCCTGCTTTTGCTCCCAACCCCCTGCTTTTGCTCCCAGCTCTTCAGAGGTGCCGGTTGAGCTTGTTTGGTCTTTTTGTATTTTTTGTCCAGAATTTACCCCAACTGCACATTCATGAAGTTATTTTTAGACCCTTATAGTTTCTTTGTATTTTGTTGCTCAAGGAGACGTTTGTCCAGGTTCAAGTGTTGCAGCACAGCACAAAGGGTCCCAGGTCCCAGCCTGTCTCACCTTTACCATGTAACTTAGCATATTCACAGATTCCAGAGATTAGGATATGGACGTCTTGGAGGTGGGGGAATTATCCTACACCTTCATATGGCATACAAGGCTCTCTACCATGCAGACCAAAACTGTCTTTCTGGCTTCATCTCCCACCAAATGCTGTGTGTTAGTGATATGTCGCTGTATAACAAGTCACCCTAAAGCTTAATGGCTTAAAACAACAACACTTATTATCTCACAGTTTCTATGGGTGAGGAATCCAGGGACAGGTTACCTGGGTCCTCTAACTCATGGTCTTTCATGAGGCTGCAATCAAGATATCGGCTGTGGCTGCTTACATCTCAAAGCTCAACTGAGGAAGGATCTGCTTTTAAGCTCATTCTCACGACCCTTGGCGGGATTCTTTCCTCCCTGGCTGTGGGCTGGAAGCTACTCTCAGTTCTTTGCTGCACCGGCCCCTCCATAAGGCAGCTTACAGCGCGGCACCTGCTTCATCAGAGCAAAAAGCAAGAAGAGCCAGAGAGACTGCAAGCAAGATGGAGCCCGTCTACTGCAACCTCATCCCATCACTTTTGCTGTATTATATTTATTAGAGGCAAGGCCAGCCCACACGCTAGAGAAGGGGATTAATTACATAAGAGCATGAATGCCAGGAGGTGGGAACATGGGTCGATGTTAGAAGCTGTCTAGCACACCCCAATACGTATCCTGTGTTCTCACCTATGAAACCACCAAATTAGTCCAAGAAAGAAAAAAAATGCTTTTTTTTATCACCCATGCAATGAATTAAATTGATATGACCTGGGTTCCAGCCTAGGCTCTTTGAAGTTGTTTGATGTTGGGAAAGCAAATGGGCCATAAATGGTTTTGTTTGATTTCTCTTTCCTTATCTGGGGATGAAAGCAGTTTCAAACACCCAGGGCTTTCAGATATTATCTTTGAAAGTAAGTAATTGCAAAATATTAGCTCAATGAACTATATTAAGTAATATGTATATATTAAACAATGTTTTTAGAATTGTAGCTGTATAATAAAGCAAAGTATATCTCCCCCTCACACAGAGAACTGGAAATAATGAGATTATGAAGGAGGGGGCTACTTTTTTTTCTAACCACCGCATTTGTTCATTAATTCACTCATTCAACTCATTGTTCATTAATTCACTTTTTTTTCTAACCACCGCACCATTTGTTCATTAATTCACTCATTCAAAAAGTATTCATTTGATAATGCCACTTGCAGCAACATGGATGGACCTAGAGATTATCATACTAAATGAAGTAAGTCAGACAAAGACAAATATCATAAGATACTTACATGTGGAATCTAAAATATGATACAAATGAACTTATTTACAACACAGAAACAGACTCACAGACACAGAAAACAAACTTATGGTTACCAAAGGGGAAAGGGGGTGGGGGGAGAGATAAATTAGGAGTTTGGGATTAACATATACACACTACTATATATAAAATAGATAAACAACAAGGTCCTACTATATAGCACAGGGAACTATATCCAATATTTTGTAATAAACTATAATGGAAAAGAATATGAAAAAGAATATATAACTGAATCACTCTGCTGTACACCAGAAACTAAAAAATGAAATGAAATAAATAAAATGAAATGAAATTTTAAAAATAAATAAATAATTTTTAAAGTATTCATTGGATTCCTACTGTGAGCTGGGTAGTGTCTCAAGTACCTGGGACAAAGCAGTGAACAAAATAGATTAAGCTCCTGCCCCTTTGGAGCAGACATGCTAGTGGGGAAGGAGACAGACAGTAAGTGAACCACACATAGAGTATGACAGAGGGTGAGGCGCTAGAGCAGGTAAGGGGCACGGTGGGTGTCAGGGGGGTGAGGCTGTCTCATATGTAATGGTCTGGAAGGCTTCTCTAAAAGCTGACCTTTGAGCAGAGACATGAAAGAAGTGAGGAAGCCACCATGAGAGTATGTGGAGTAAGGATTTCCCAGGCAGAGAGGACAGCAAGAGCAAAGGTGGCTGATGGGTTCAAGGAACAAGAAGTGCTGCTGTAACAGAGTGAACAAAGGAGAAAGTGGGTGGAGGTGAAGTCCAGAAGGAAACCAGATGCCAGATCTTACAAGGCCTGGAGGTCGTTAAAAGGAATTTGAATTTTTTTTTTTTTTTTGCTTTTTCATCATATGGTATATTTTTTCAATTTTTATCGGAGTATAGTTGATTTACAATGTTGTGTTAGTCTAAGCTGGGAGTCACTGTGCGAGTGGCCTCCTGAAAGGAGCTACTTAAAATGCGGTGGTTAGAAAAAAAAGTAGCCCCCTCCTTCATAATCTCATTATTTCCAGTTCTCTGTGTGAGGGGGAGATATACTTTGCTTTATTATACAGCTACAATTCTAAAAACATTGTTTAATATATACATATTACTTAATATAGTTCATTGAGCTAATATTTTGCAATTACTTACTTTCAAAGATAATATCTGAAAGCCCTGGGTGTTTGAAACTGCTTTCATCCCCAGATAAGGAAAGAGAAATCAAACAAAACCATTTATGGCCCATTTGCTTTCCCAACATCAAACAACTTCAAAGAGCCTAGGCTGGAACCCAGGTCATATCAATTTAATTCATTGCATAAAGCCAGACCTCACCTGGACGATGCTCACCTGAGAGCCTAAGAGGGCTTATTGTAAAGCAAGTGCCTCAGACTGTGAGGTGGTGCCTTAGGAATCCCCCAAACCTCAACGGAGTGGTTGCCGATCAACAGCCAAGAGGCGGTCTGGGTGTGCAAAGGCTTAGGAGAAGGTCTCTGTTACATTCACACATTAGCCAGCCTGCCAGGATTTTAGTAAAGGACACTTGGTCATTGCTGCCTTCACCGCATATTAAGCCCTGAGTGTCTCCTATGACTGTGCGGCCTGCATGTGACCTTCAGGCACCTTGGAGGCTCTATAGTAGGTAAACTTAGATAAGCAAATGGAAATTAGTTTTATCAGGGAGAGAGCAGCCAGCATAAGTGGTTAGGAGTGGCTGGAGGATGGGGGGAGGAGGGCAGACTGTTTTACAAAGAGAAGCATATATCAGAAAGAGTAGAGAAATACTCTACTTGCAAACACTGGGACTTGTGAACGGGAGACGTGGACAGGAGAGAGTGGGATGACCCGGGTCACCCTCCAACTCCTGACCCTTCTCTGGGCTATGACTGGGACCAGCACCCAGACCCGAAGCTCATGCTGTGAGTAGAGCATTTTTTCCAAGGTCAGGGAAGCAGTTACCCTGGGGGTAGGCAGAAACCTCAGACACTGACGTCTGCTCATGAGACAGTGCCTGAAAACCGGGATCACTCTAGGAGTTCCAAAGCGGGTGAGTCAGGGTGTGAGTGTGTGTGGTTCATCTTTCCTGACTTAACAGCGTAAGTTCTTTGAGAGGCAAGTCTATGCATTTTAAGAGAAATTGAAATACCATTGCAGGAATGATGGTTGATGATACAGAGAAAGATACTCAGTGGCTGTTCTGACCAGGTACCACTATTAGTGAGAATGTTGGGTACCTGCTGAGGATAGGTCATATCCCAAATCTTTCATATTTTTCATGTAAGAGGGAGAAAAAAATGGATGCAAGGAAATCAGTGACTTCTAGGAACATGCTAGAAATAGCATGAAATGTCTGTGAGCCATAGTGCTCGATGTTACTAAGTGAAAAATCACTTTCTTAAAGATAAGGGTTATTGGGGAAGATGTAGGGACTAATTGGCCTCAAAAGAAAAAGCCCAGTGTTTTCTCCATTGCTCTTTTTTTTTTTTTTTTTTTTAAATTTATTTTTGCTGTGTTTGGTCTTCGTTTCTGTGTGAGGGCTTCCTTTAGCTGTGGCAAGCGGGGGCCACTCTTCATCGCGGCGCGCGGGCCTCTCACTATCGTGGCTTTTCTTGTTGTGGAGCACAGGCTCCAGACGCGCAGGCTCAGTATTTGTGGCTCACGGGCCTAGCCGCTCCGCGACATGTGGGATCCTCCCAGACCAGGGCTCGAACCCGTGTCTGCTGCACTAGCAGGCAGATTCTCAACCGCTGCGCCACCAGGGAAGCCCTCCATTGCTCTTTAATAATCACCCCAAAGGGAGCATCCCTGAGGATACCAAGGCTAATCCTGTCTTCTCCTAAGAGACACAGGAAACATGTTTCTGAGAAGACGGAATGAGGATGAGGAGTTTGGTAAACGGCTTTGTCCCTTGCAGCTGTTCCCTTAGCAGAGCAGCCCTTGGTTAATGGCATCCAAGTGCTCATGGAGAGCTCGGTGGTCAACTCTGCCTTCCCAAACCCCAGCATCCTGATTGCCATGAACCTGGCCGGAGCCTACAACTTGGAGGCCCAGAAAAACCTGACTTACGAGCTCATGGACAGTGACACAGCTGGTGAGAAGCCAGGGCCCCTCTGCCCGCTCCCTGAATCTCCACTCCCCCAGGGTCCACCTCCATGTCCCCCCACCCCAGTGCTACCTGTGATGGTACCTGAGTCACCCAAACACCTTTCCCTGCATACCTGGAAGGACTCATGTGTGAAGTCAGGGCATTCACACAGGAGGGCAGTAAAGCAGAAAGAGCTCTAGATTAAATGTAAAAGAGCGGATTTCCAGGTCTGGCTCTGCCACTTACTAATTCTGTGACCTTGAACTAGTCACAGATCCCCATCAACCACACGGTCGTCACGTGCGAAATGCAAATAATTCTAATAACAATAACACTAATAGCAATAACAACAACAATAACAATAATAATAAAATCTCTGTTCTGCCTACCTCACAGGAGTTGCCTTGAGGTTCAAATTAGATAAACTTGAGTAAAGTTAAAATTATCTTGTAACTATACATTTTTTTATATATGAATTTGGATGGGTATTCTTGCTGCTTTTCTAAACAGATACCAGGAATTCCTGATGGGGTTGTCAAGTCACATAGAGGCCACTAGATTAACGGCCTACTTAATGTTTTTCCATACTTCTTTCCTTGAGAAAGATTAAAAAAAACTAATCACATTATTTAAAAAATCGAAATGATCTGGAAAGAAGCAGAGAGCTCAGCCTGGCCCCTGGTACTCTCTCCCCTGATAACGCCTTTGTGTAACTATATTGTTCTCTCCTCTACAGACCTTACCATTGGTCAGCTTGCCCTCACCATCATGGCCCTCACCTCCTCCTGCCACGACCCTGGGAACAAAGTATCGATTCTACAGAGACAAATGGAGAAGTGGGCGCCTTCCAGTAAGACCTCATCAGAAGGGAGGGGGAAGTGAGGCAAATGGCCTTTCCTGAGAATTTTAAATCTATAAAGAAAAAGGAAGGGAGAGTGGAAGTTTAGGCAAGAGACACAAAGTACCTCTGATGATCCCACAAGTGAGATCTCCACTTCCAATCCAATGAACTAGAAAAGACCACTATCCCAGGCAAACAGTTCTATGCCATCACTGAAGACAGCAGCATCCCTCTTATTCTGTTCTCATGCCAGATGACAGTCTTATTCTGAGGCACATGGAAGTTATCTCTTGCCATATGGTATCTTTCTTTTTGGACAGGTTTTCTAGCAATGTCTCTTTAAAAGGTTTGGCTTTTCCTTTTTCACAAATATCTTCTTTACGGTGAATGTTAGTCTTATGAAGGCCCTCTATCCCTTTCCAAGGCCTCAATGCCCATGCTTCATCCTTCTATGGGCCCAGTCTGGCGATCTTGGCGCTGTGCCAGAACCAGCCGGCGAGGACCTTACCCATAGCAGCCCGCTTCGCCAAGAGCCTGCTGGCCAGTTCCTCTCCCTTCAACGTGGGTGAGTAGGTCACCACTTTCACACAGTGCCCTGAGCTGGGAACATCAAGGTCACTGAAGGGTACAGCTGGAGGGAAAGTGGGTGGTGGTGGGGGGAGCTTTCCATGGAAGAGGAGCTGAGGACCATGAAAATGCCTATAGATGAGAGATACTTGGCAAATATTTGTTGGACATGTGAATTAAGGTATAAATGAAAGAGAGAAAATAAAACAGAAACCAGGACAATACTTGCCATGTCTGACAGTTACAGACAAATCAGAATCTCCATTGAGAACAATAAATATGTCATCCAAGTCAGGAGTTGTTCCCAGACGAGTGATTAAATTATTAAATCAGTGTCTGGACTCAGTCCCACCCTGAACCTCCTCTTTAATCGCTGCCGATGCTTCCACACTCTATTCTTCTCGATGCTTCTCCTTACTACATCCAAATAGTCTCTCTTTTTTCTTGGGCTGTGTTGGGTCTTTGTTGCCGTTCGCGGGCTTTCTCTAGTTGCGGCGAGCGGGGTTGGAGCATGGGCTCTAGGTGCATGGGCTTCAGTAGTTGCAGCACGCGGGCTTCAGTAGTTGTGGCTCGCGGGCTCTAGAGTGCAGGCTCAGTAGTTGCGGCGCACGGGCTTCGTTGCTCCGCGGCATGTGGGATCGTCCCAGACCAGGGCTCGAACCCATGTCCCCTGCGTTGGCAGGCGGATTCTTAACCACTGCCCCACCAAGGAAGTCCCCAAATATTCTCTCTATGCTAAACAGCTACCCTCTGAACACTAAACCCATAATGCTCCCCTTCAAGGATGCACTGGAACCATCTTATTCCTTCATCCTGCAAGCACATGGCTGCTTGTGAACGGAAGCTCTATCGTCTACCACACCATGTCTTTCTTCTGCACATAACGATCCCTGCTCTGTATGATGCCCTCTGTGGGGGCCACTGTTATGTCCCTCATTGGTGGTCATAGTTTCTCCTCTACCACTATCTAAGCAACAGGATTATCTCAGGTTTTCACCCCTTATACATGCCGCATCAGCAACCTCTCTCCTTTCAGGCTTTATCAGACCAGCACACAGGTAGATATTTACTCAAGTACCCTCCCCATGGGTCAAACACAGACTAGCCTCTGTTTCCCATCTGGGACCTCATGCATTGCTGGGCCCTCTCTGCCAGTTCAGGAAACTGGGGCTTCTTTGCCAACATTTTCATCCTTAGTGAGGTGATGAAATTTTGGGTGGAGATTAGGGTGGGGAGGGAAAGATCGATGAAAAAAAAATGCCATCTGGCAAGTCTTTGATTTCTTCTGGTCTCGTCATGCCAGAGTTTGCCCATTCAGTTCACACATAGTAAGAATGAAATAATGAAAAAAGCCCTTGTGCTGGGTACTATGGGAGATGAAAATCCCCGCCCTCCCCCCATCTGAGAACTCACAGGGCACAGTAACAGCAGAGAGTGCTGAGACTGCAAAACAGGTACAAACAACAAATGCTAAAGGAATCCAGAAGAGAGACTACACTTATTGTAGTGTAGTCTCTTTTCTGGATTGACAAAGAGGACTTCAGTGAGAGGTGGTGATGGCTGGACCTTCACCAACTGCTGACATCTTGAAAGATAAACATTGGGACAAGAGAAGTGGGATTGAAAATGTTGCTAGTTGACTTTCATTCAAAGCATGAGCTGTGGAGTCATACAGATCTGCATTCAGGTGTGTGGCCTTGGGCAGTTACCTAACCTCTCTGAGCCTCCATTTCCTCATCCCCTAAATGGAGATAATTATAGGTCCTATTTCACAGATTGCCCTGAAGGGTAAAGGAGATAATGAACCTGAACACAATAAGCACACAAATGTTAGCTGTTCATACTGTGGTGGTGGTGGTTGTCTTATCCCGTGCTGTGATTCTCAGACACAGGAGCAGTGGTGACCTTGGCTCTGACCTGTATGTACAATAAGATCCCCATAGGTTCAGAGGAAGGTTACAGAGCCCTGTTCGATCAGGTACTGAAGAATACTGTGGAGAATATCAGCATGAGGATCCTAGACAATGGCATCATCGGAGACATCTACAGCACTGGCCTTGCCATGCAGGTAAATGCGTCATTGATGCCCTTCGCTGGGTCCATGTCCCTAAGCCTGGATTGTAGGACCAAGAGACCAGGCTTCTGGTAGTATCTCTGGGGAGGACCAGCTACTGTGACTAGAAGTAGATTCCTTACGGCACCTGTGCCTCAGTTTCTCTACTGGTGAAATGCAGGTACGTGTTAATTCATCCCTACCTCACAGGTAAAGTATAAAATCAAATATGCATGAACTCTTCCCTTCCATGGAAAAATAAATAAATAAATAAATCCAAGAAATATATTGGTTTATTATGAATAATGATCGGTTTGTTCATAATAATTATAGGCAATTGAAAGTTTGGTGTATTAAAAAATAAGGATATTCAAGGAGGTCCTCAAAAAATATTGACTCTTCTGATTCCAGGCTGCCAATCAAGTGTTCTTTTATCAGATCTTTACCTTGATCCAAGAAAAGGTGGGATTGTATTCAAAATGATTAATGAAAATAATCTAAAACTGCCTGGACATCTCATCTTTGTCAAGGTTTTTTACTATCTCAGTCTCAGTTCAACCTCACAAAGATCCCTAATATATGTCAGCGCCAGATGTGTCTGGTCATCAAATCTATGCTCAGTCCTATGCTTCTCTAGTATAGAGTCTCAGGCTTGGATTCTATAAGATGCTGCTTGATATAGCTCCAAATACAACCACACACACACACACACACACACACACACACCTCCCCTTCCGTTGATTAGGGCAACATCTTCCCACGGAAAACACACCAATAATAATGCGGAGAGAGAACCAACTAGAATCAAAAATTAAAGGGTCATCTGTAGCCAAATCCTGCAGTCCAAACTAAGAAATTTATGCTCCAGAGTCTCAAAATGCCCCTTGGGATTAATAGAAAAACTACATCGTGACCTTCCCAACTTGGAAATCCCAAGAAACAGAGAATCATAATATCATGCTTAGTGAATTAAATCAAGCAAAGAAAGATAAATGCTGCATGATATCACCTATATGTGGAATCTAAAAAATAATACAAATGAATGTATATGCAAAACAGAAACAGACTCATAGATATAGAAAACAAACTTGTGGTTACCGAAGGGGAGAGGGAAGCGGGGAGGGACAAATTAGGGGTATGGGACTAACAGGTACAAACTGCTATGTATAAAATAGATAAGCAACAAGGATATACTGTATAGCACAGGGAATTATAGCCATTATCTTGTAATAATCTATAATGGAGTATAATCTGCAAAAATACTGAATCACTATACCATATGCCTGAAACTAAAATAATATTGTAAATCAACTATACATCAATAAAAAATAAAGAAACAGAACCATGGAGTTACAATGCCCACCCTAAACCTAATTTAGCACTGGACTAGTGCAGGGGGTTGGAGACTGGTCTGATATTCTATACATTAAAAATTAGTGACGTAATGTACAGCGTGGTGACTATTGTTAATAATACTGTATTATATATTTGAAAGTTACTAAGAGAGTAAATCTTAAAAGTTCTCATCACAATATAAAAAATGTGAAACTATGTGTGGTGATGAATGTTAACTAGACTTACTGTGATCATTTGACAATATATACAAATATCAAATCATTTGTTACTACACCTGAAACAAACATAATGTTATATGTCAATTACATCTCAATTTTTAAAATATTTTTTAAAATTAAGATTAAAAAATGAGCAAAGGGCATAAATAGACTAGAAATTAGTTCATGTTAAACATAAGAGTAAATACAAAGTCCCCACTCCAATGTGCCATAGGACCAACTAATGAAAATAAAGTCAGTTTCTACATCATGTCGTGGTCAATAAAATTTTGTCAGAGAGCAAAACACTGTTTGTTTTTATGGCTGAATCATACAAAAGCTTTCCCAGGCCTCAGGTCTAGAAAGCTTTGTGGGGGAACAAAGGAAGTCTTGAAGAAATCTAAGGCAAGTTTTATTCATGACTCACTTAAAATAACCTTGCTCACCTTAGAGCCAGACAGAGAAGTGTTTGCTTTTGCTAATTTGGTTTGTGAATTCTATTTGGGATTTTAGCACCTGCAGAGTACACCGTGAAAAGCTGTACCTGGGAATTAAAGTTTTTCCTTGGAAAAAGGCAGGACCTCATCCATATCCAGATATCAAAGGCCACGTGGATTACTTGTCAGTTAGGATACGTAACCTCTCCCTACCCATCGTATGCCAGAGTTTACCCAGGCAGTCCGAAGTCTGAAATCACCAGATATCTACTATATAAACTTTTTCTAATCTAAAATGTTCTGGTGTCAAAAGCAAAAGGTTTCTAAGGCTGTAACAACTTGGGTTTGCCTGCCAGACTGGCCACCATCTTGGGCAAATATTGAATTTCCTGGAATTTCATTTTCCCCATGATAGCAAAGGTATAAAAAAAGTCACAGGCACAATGTGGCATTTAATAATTATTTGTGATCTCTCCCAGTGGAAGAGAGGTGATATTTAGCTTCCTTTGCAGCCTTCACTCACCCTCTGCCAGCTGTCAGTGCCCTTCAAGTGACCTAGGCCACCCACACTGTTTCCCAGATGCATTTCCTCCTCTTTCTCCCATAAATATTCCAACGCTTTCAAGGTTCCTCTGACAAGAACCTAACTTGGGGACATAAACTTCATGAGAAGTTATGATTGACTTCTAACTGGCTAATGCATTACTCCTTGCTAAAGAGTTGGTGTTGTGATGTTTTATCCCAAGGCGATACATCTCACTTAATGGGATTTGGGATATGAATATGGCAAGTGGACAAGATACAGATACGATTGCTGGGAAAGCCTGACTGATGCCCTTTAACCAAACTGCCCTGTAAAGGGGGCCTCTGGGAAGAGCCATTGGCATGGTTACAGAGGTTAACAGAGCCTGTCAAAACTGCCTAGTTGCTCACAGCACTGCCTCTAGCTCACAGCCATTTCTGGTTCCCTCCCTTCACCCACTTCCCATTCAAAGCTTCAAGTGAATGGGTCATCAACAGCCCCAGACCATTAACATGCTCTGGTGGATGAGTCAGCACAACCCTAAAGGCAGGGAGGTGCTAAGGACAGCTTCCGCAACACACCATTACAAAATGCTTTTGCATAGCATCCCATCTGAACCTCCAATGACTGCCCCAAAGGTAGGCAGGAGCTATGATTTCTATTTTACCCGTGAGACAGAAAACTCAGCCAAGTAGAGTGACTTGCTTGGTGTATTCATCAAGACTCATTTTGCAAATAACAGAAACCCAAATAATTTTTGCTTAAGAAAAAAAAAAAAGGAGATTTACTATTTCACATAAACTGAGGGATCCAGGGCTCGATTAGGTGATTTCGGGATTAATCAGAATAAAGGGTTCAAATCACATCAGGGATCACTCTTTCATCATCTCTCAGCCATGGTTTTTCTCATTCTCTCCTGCTGTATGGCTTCTTCAGAGTGGCTGAGAAAGATGGTCACTAGCACCTCAATGATTACTAACCCCAGCAAGGAGGAAGAAATGTTTCTCTCTACCAGTGTCTGTGTATCATGGAAGGACTCTGATTCGTGCATGTGTCCATCAATCACTGTCACCAAGAGGATAGTACTCTACGATTAGCCCAGCCCATGAGTCCACCCTTGTGGCCAGGATCGTGGAGCCTCTAGCTGACAGTACTGACATGATCAAAGAATGTGGGAAGAGTCCACCAAAGGGTGTGTAGAACAGCAAAAAACAAAAGAAGTCTACTACCGTTAGATGGCCAGGTTGTCCTACAATAAAGCTTCCCCAGGAGCTTGCTTTGCCAGCTCTCATCCTCCTTCTACATGCAAGAACTGTCAGTAAATACAGCAGCCCTAATAGCAGTCCCTGAAACTGAGTGTAGCTCAGATATTTATTGTGTGACTTCTATGTGACAGACACTGAACTAAGCAGTGGGGACACAGCCGTGAATAAGACAGATGTTGTCCTGAACCTCGTGCAGCTTCGGTTTTTGACTGTGGTTGATCACAAAGATTAGTGATCAAGTCTGTCCCTTATAAGGCTAATAAAGGCCAACTCTCAGCTATACCTAATCTGTCTCTCTCTCTCTCTACCCACCCTCCCACCCCCACCCCGGCCCCAGGCTCTCTCCGTGACACCTGAACCACCTAACAAGGAGTGGAACTGCCAGCAGACCATGGATTCTGTACTGGATGAGATTAAGGAGGGGAAATTCCACAACCCCATGTCCATTTCCCAAATCCTCCCTTCCCTAAAAGGCAAGACATACCTAGATGTGCCCCATGTGTCTTGCAGACCTGGTAAGAACTCTTAACATCTGTCTCTCCCTATAAAGTGGCAAGTTATGCCAGGAATGATACGTGGATCAATTTTAAGTGGCATAAGGTCTTGTTATATACATGACTGCCATGTAGGCAGGGCCAGTTCCCAAGAGTTGTATGTTAGCACACAGCCATGCTGTCCTGCCCTCAGAATTCTGCTCCCACAACCACTTCATTCAACACACATTTACTGAGCACCTACTATAGGTAAATCATTTTGTTGGATGCTTGTGGAGAGAGAAGATCCATGGTCCTAACAGTCAAATAATATATGACTTCATTCATTCATTTGACAAATGCACCGAACACTAGGCAATATCTTATCATATCTGCTCTTTACAAAGTCAGGAGATGGTATGTAGACAAAAACTACAATATTTGGAAGAATGAAATAAGTATTAAACAGAAATAGAAGCCATATACAGTGCAAAAGCAAAGAAAGTATGACCAATCATTGAGTTTGGGAACCTTAGGAGAACAGAGTTGACATTTCAGCCAAGACTTGGAGATATAAAAATGTGCTCACAGCACACCAAAGGGATGGGGTGGAAATCTGGCACATTACCTTTTTATTTGAAATACCTTTATTTTATCCATTTACAAATATAATACAGAGATACTTAAAATTCAAACATGGCAGAAATATACATCTAGAAAGTAGAGTCCTGCAAAAAAATTTATCACCCCAGAGTCTTTGGTATAGATTCCTCCAACTCTTCTTTCTAATCAAATTCTAACATAAAGTATGATTCATCTTATGTTGCATGGACTTCCTGAGATAAGCAGGAAGCTTATTAGTAAGTAAGCTTATTAGTAAGCTCCTTGTCTATCTCAGTACAGAATCTATAGAGACCACAATTAAGCAATCTGACCACAATCATACCAAACATTGCCACATTCACTGACCCCTTAGGCTGCTTCCCAAAGATTTCCCAACTTGAACAAGGTGGCCATGGAGTCCTTCCTAGGATTCTGCACTAGGTGCCCAGGTATTTTGTTAAATGGTCTGAAACTTACCACCTTTGCTTCCAGATTCTTCGGGTTAACAAAAAACCCCAAGAGAACAGTGAGCACCATGTAAACTACATGACTTAGGGCTCACAACCCTCCCTTCAGTTTACAAATCCTTTTAACAAAATAAACGTTCGTCATTAAGCTAGCTGTCAGTTCTTCAGCTACCATCAGTTCTCTAGGATGGAAATGAGAGCTTCATAGGTCACACCAGTCCTTCAGAACAATCCACAAAGGACACAAAACCACTGTCATCTCTTGAAATGTGTTCTGGGATAAGCTGCCAATAACAGAGATTTTGTACCTATACTACAAACCCCATAATCTTTAACAAATTTGGCCTCTTTGCTCTTCCCAGGTCATGAGGTGCTACCAACTCTACCCAGCCATCCTAGCCGTGTTCCCACCTCAGCATCCAATATCACCGTCAAATACACCATAAATAACCAGCTGAGGGGTGTGGAGCTTCTCTTCAATGAGACCATCAATGTTAGTGTAAAGGGAGGATCAGTGCTACTTGTTGTCCTAGAGGAAGCACAGCGCAAAAACCCCACATTCAAGTGAGTGTTACAAGTGACATTCACCATTCCTCCCAAGCCCTACCTGAATTCCCATTCTCTCTCTTCTTCCTTCATTTTCTTGCTTTTTTACCCTGCTGATCATGTAACAGATCTTTATTTAATAGTCTCTTGAGGAGCCTGCAATCTAGTAACTAGGCAAGGCTCTCATAAAAATTAAATCATTCAAGTCAATATAAGATGGAATTTTTAAAACAGGAATTCAAAGGAGAGAGAGCACAGTGTGGATTAGAAGAGTCAAGGAAGGCTGGTGGCTTTGGACCACATTCAAAGGATAGGTACCATACAGGAAGATATGGAAGGATGGTATTCTAGGAAGGGGGGATGGTGAGGACAAAGCATTCGAGACAGGACTGAGCAAGGAATTTAGGGTCAATGAGTAGACCAGCTTGACTAGACAAGAGAATACAGGACTGAATTAAATGAATGATGTCTGGAAGGATACACTGGGTGATATTGTAGAAAGCCTGAAATACCAGGCTAAGGAATTCAGACTTCATTTTGCAGAGAAGCATTGAAAGTTTTTGAGTAAGAAAAGTCATGTTGTAAAATGTTCATTGGTTTGGGGAATGAGTGACAAGGAGGAAAGCTAGGGCATGACTACAGAAATGAAGCTGTAAACTGATGAGGACTTCATCTAGGAGAAATGTACTCATACCAAGGAAGATGCCCCAGGGCTCATGAGTGACTGCATGTGGGGGTCAAGAGCAAGACGCTCCAAAACTATTGGTAGGAGTGTCAGGAAGAAAGAATGTCCTTCAGAGAAAAACCCAATTCCTTTAGATGATTAATTGTTGGCATTCAAAACAGAAACCTTAGGAAGCTTTTGGAGGTATAAAGGAAGTCCTAGAAAAAGAGGTCAGGACAAGCAAAAGAGATTGAGTAGTCATCTGATAGAGTTGACGACTTAAGTTAGGGACAGTGTAGTAGGTGACAGATACGATGCTTCCAATAAACCATGAGACAGATATAATTATGCCCATTTTACAGATAGGACCACTTAGGCCCAAAATGGTTAAGTAATATTCTGAAGACCACATAACATGCAACTATAGGAATTGAGCTCTGAACCCAGATTTGACTGACTCTTATGTTCTTTCTACTACTCAGGTGGGAAAGGGAAAAATATAGAAATAAATCACAAAGGAGAACATTAAACTTTGGGGAATGTTTATAGTTCGCAAAAAGAGGGAACAGTAGAGAAATATGGAGAAGCCTAAGCTACAGGAGGAGGAGGGGGAAGGTGCCAGGTCATGGGAAGGAAAAGAGGAGATACTTTCAGAGGAAAGATGGCCCAATCCAAATTCTGCGGAGAGATGTCCAGGAGAAAGACTGACAAAGGCCAAGGAATAGACGAGTGCCGTGGGATCTATTCTCCAGGGTTACGATAAGTACACATGTCTGCTGCCCACAGACCAGCTCCATCACTTCCCTAACTTCTGTAGAACAGGTCAAGATAAAGATCGCATTTCGAGAATACTTAATTTTCCAACAACCTGCTGAATGTACTTTACTTCTTCTCTAAGCTTAGCTTTAATTTTGCCTGATTTAACTTTTCCTAACTATAAATGTAATAAATACACATAGAAGAAATTTTGAGGGGGGGAAGCATAGAGAAGAAAACAAAACATCCATAGTCTATCTACAATATATCACTGTTGATATTTTTTATAATTTTATAGGTATTTTCTCCATGCATATTACAAATAGTTGTGATCCATAATATACGAGATAGATAGATATTTCTTTTTTTTTTTTTTTTTTTTTTTTACGCGGGCCTCTCACTGTTGCGGCCCCTCCCGCTGCGGAGCACAGGCTCGCCATGTATCACGGGGCCCAGCCGCTCCGCGGCATGTGGGATCCTTCCGGACTGGGGCACGAACCCGCGTCCCCTGCATCGGCAGGCAGACCCTCAACCACTGTGCCACCAGGGAAGCCCAACAGATAGATATTTCTGATACAATGTGTATCCCACATTTTCACTTAATATTATTGCATAAGCATTTTCCCATTTCACTGAAAAATATTGAAAAATATGATTTTCATAACTGCAAAAGAGTCAATCTTGGATATTCATTCCATCTCTCACCTAATTTTTTTGCCCATTGTTGGACATTTACATTTTAAAAATCTGCTTATTGATAGGTTTTTTAAAAATCTGTTCATTTTATTTTTATTTAATTCCAAGTGAAGTAATTTTATGTTCATTAGTCATTTGCATTTTCTCTTTGAAACATGATTTTTTCTGATCTTTAAAGCATTTAGAAGGTCTCTGTCCCTTCATCTTAACTTCTTATTGCCTGACTTAAAGTGAGGTATTAATCGTATATGATTTTATTCTTACAGATTTGAAACCACAATGACATCCTGGGGACTTGTGGTCTCTTCTATTAACAGTATCACTGAAAATGTTAATCACAAGACGTATTGGCAGTTCCTGAGTGGCAAAACACCTTTAAATGAAGGTGAGAGAAGAAAAGGAATGTGGGCATTTTCTCCATCGTTTGAAGGCTAATTCTTTCATTTCCATATTTAATTTATTCATTTATTTAATCGATAAATAATTGTGAAACTCTATGTATATACAATAATTGTACATATAGCTGTTACATACGTATGTATATACGCAGATATATTATGAATATATATACACTGTTGATAGATAGATAGATGGATAGATAGAACAGATGGGTAGCTCTCTAAAATAGCTTTTGAAAAAAATCAAGAATCCTAACTCCACTCCGAGCCAGTGGGAAAATATCCAGTGAACAAGAAAAGTGGATTGACCTAAAGTAGTAAGAGCTAAAGAAGGAAAAAGCAGATGTGAGAAAGATTTTTTTTTTTTTAAGTGTGTGATCTAAGAAGATGGCCAATTTGGGGTTAAAAAATTAAACACATATGTGTAAAGCAAAGGAACAGTGAATTCATAGCCAGTGGGAAATAAATGAGAGGGATAAGATAACATCTATTAATGTAGTAATGTTATCTTATTTCATACATCAACTCTGTAGGCATTAGTGACTCTTGTTACAACAAAAAAATCTAAGTCTCACAAACAAAAAAGGGACTTGCCCAAGGCATACATGTAGTATGTGATAGAGCAGATAATGAAGACCACAGCTTCACTCAAAATCCATTCTTCGCCTTCTTTTGTTGTAGTGTTGTTAAAAATCACAAGAAGAATGTTTGTGTGGGGAAAGTGGGAAGAATGAAACTCAGACTTCAGCAAAACCTTAACAATCTTTAAAATGTTTGCGCAAATACTAATATATCCTGCAACTTAAAAAGAGTACTAGTCCGGGCTTCCCTGGTGGCGCAGTGGTTGAGAGTCCGCCTGCCGATGCAGGGGGCGCCGGGTCCGGCCCCCGGGCCGGCCACTGAGCCTGCGCATCCAAAGTCTATGCTCCATAATGGGAGAGGCCACAACAGTGAGAGGCCCGCGTACCACAAAAAAAAAAAAGTAAAGGCCCCAATACACAAAAAAAAAAAAAAAAAAAAAAAAAAAAAGAGTACTGGTCTATGGTTTTGTCGAAGGATGATGTTACCTAGTTAACCTGATGTTCATTGTCACCCTTCTTTGTCAAGATGCTTCATTATCCAAGATTACAATGAGAGAGACGTTTTTCCTAGAGCCTACCATGGATTTGACAAAAAAATCTGGCCAGTCAGAATTTGTGGAATTGCAGCACAGCATTTAAGAAAGATCTTAGAGTCACATAAACCTTGGTTAGAATCCCTTTCTCTCCCTCTCTGTCTTTTTTTTTTTTTTTTTTTTCCCCGGTGGGTGAATCTAGAAAATTCTAACTGGTCTAATATTTTTCCCTTTTCCTCGATGTAGCCATTTTTTTTTTTTTTTTTTTGTCACACCATCCGTCTTGCAGGATCTTAGTTCCCTGACCAGGGATCAAACCTGGGCCCAGCAGTAAAAGCGCTGAGCCCTAACCACTGCACCACCAGGGAATTCCTGAAGCCCCTTCTCTTATTTTCTAGCTACGCTAGGCAAATAATGAATCTCCTCTGAGGCACAGTGCCCACAGCTATAATATGGAGAGAACAATAACCATTTCTTAGGTTATTGTGAGGATTAGAAATAACGTGTTTAAAATGAGTAAATTCAGTGCCTTTTGCATGGTATTTGTTCAAAAATGCTAATCACTATCGTTATTAATTCTCTTACCACCTTCATCTCAAGAATTGCCCTGGGAACTTAAATCAGGCTAATTCTCATGTCTGCCAGTTACTCTTCTTCTCTGGGGAAAAGAAAGTCCTCTGAGATCCGAAAAGATTTGGGCCTGGAATTGTCATGCTTTCTGATGCCTGGCTACTTCAGAGTTAATCATTGATTATGTCATCATCTGTGTCTCCTGCCCAGAAAGACAAGAATTCTCAACCCACTGCCCTTCCTCACTTCTTATAAAATCTTCTAAAATGAACATGAGTTCCTGCCTTGAATGCTCTAAATTTGGCTTACATAAGCCATTTTAATAGTAATTACTGTCTTGCATACTTATTATGTGTCAGATACTGTATGAGGCATTTGGCAGTCATTATTTCTAATCCTGAAAATAATTCTTCAGCATAAATACTAGTAGTACAATAGTGTATATGAGGGAAGGAGGCTGGCACAATCTAAGGGGCTTGGCCAAAGACGTGCTCCACATGGCAACTGAGAGCCTGGAAACAAGGACCCCCGAATCTCAGTTCCATGCTCCCTTCATACTAATCAACTCTATGGCGATTTTGTCTCTCTAACCAATTTAATGGGCTGGCACTGTGGGCACCTCCTGTTGTTCTCTGCTTGTTTCCAGGAGTTGCTGACTACATACCCTTCAACTGCGAGCACATCACAGCCAACTTCACACAGTACTAAGGAGAAGGATTGAGCTTCTATCAAACGTCCCCAGAGGACGGCTGGAATTTTTTTTCACCTCATTTCAAATCTGTGCGAAAAAGTCGGTATTTACAATGCTACCATATTCCTGGTTAAAACATGGAAGCCACAATGTAAAATAAATGATGCAAACTTCACTGGAGTTTCAACATCTGTGACCCATGAAAGAAAAAGTCCAGCTTCTCAAGACAATGACAGCCAGTCATCATTTAAACCTAGGGTGAGGGGGGAAAAGTGGGTGTCTGGCTGATATTTTGGAAGGTCATTCTGACCTTTTTGATTAATTAACCAACACACTCTTTTATTCTATAAAGGAAATGATGTATTTTTAAAACTTCTATTTTTATTTCTTATACCAAGTACTCCTTTTCAAATCACCTAGTGTAAACATATAAATGTACACACACATTCATCCACACATAAAGTGACCAAAATTATTTCATATGAAGCTCCCAGATGGTTCAGAACTAGGTAAATCATCTTATCGATATATCACAAACTTCCATTTCCAATATTTGTTCTGCGTAAATCACATTTCAAACATATTTTATATAACTTATCTATGTATTTAATATATTAATATGAACATAATGTGTATTTAATATTAACATAAATTTAACGTATGTTTTATATATTAAATGTAGATATATAACTGTGTCCCATAAATAATACATATAATATTTTAGATATAATATATAGATCTATAATCTCACCCTGTCCTACATATGTATATAAATACTGAAGGTACAGATCTTTGGGAGAAAAATTTAAGACAATCAACTGGTAAATTCTGCTCGTTGGAGTCAACACTGGAACAAACTTTCTAGAGAAGAGTATGAACATTTGTAACAAAAGACATAAGATGTACACTTTGATCCCCAAAAGTCCTAATTCTGAAATTTATAGAAAGGGGGAAATCATAAGAGGACACAGATATATATAAGAATCTAAATGTCAGCTGGGACGATTAGAGAAAAAAACTTAGATATGCAGCCTCAATACAGTTCCTAAAACTGAAGCCCAGAAGTGGGCAGACTTCACGGCCCCATCACAGGCCTCCCCTCCTGGCATCCCAGAGCAAGAACCTGCTCTCTGGTAATGATCTGGCTCCCAGGAGAAAGAGGCGTGAACCACACAGGCCTAGATCCTCACACCCATCACAGCTATTAGGTAAGTCACTGTATGCCCGAAAAAGACCAGGACTGTTACAGTGGTAGAAACCCTCTGGAAGTGGTGAATAAGTGCTCTCTCATAACATATCATGTTTGTAACATGGAAAACATGGAAACAATGCGTATGTCCAAAAACAGAGCAATGCATAGGTAAACCCTGGTGGGTCTGTATGATGGGATTCTTATAAGTCACTAAAATTCATGTTGAAGATAAATACTTGAGGACATGAAAAGATGTTCATGCATAGCCAAGTGAAGAAATCAGATTACACAACATCACAATATCATCCGTCCCAGGGTGTGACAGTGGTTATCTCTGCATGATAGAACGATTAGCGATTGATGTCTTTTTGTTTATTTGTTTCTCTGGTTTCTAAGTTTTCTCCATTCAACACATAATTGAGCAATGGAAATGGGGGGAAATTATTTTAAACAAAGATGACTTTTTCTCCTTTAACAAAAAATTGGGCAACCAAAGGAAGGTGTGTGTGTGTGTATTCCGCACCCAGCGTTTGCTATAATGATAGAAATTGAAGGAAAAAGAGGGGCATTAAAGACTAGGGGGAATCTCAGGCTGGTTTCACGTCTGAAAACCTCATTTTAACTACCTACCTAGTTATTAACTGTGTTCATCTGTATTGGAAGGGGTGGGGGACAGGGGAGTGAGGTTGACAATGGGTCTGCTATGAGAAGTTGCAATTCCCCTTTGAGGAAGCACCTTAACTAAATGTAGTCTGTGTGGGTTCATTTTTGCGTAATCTGTAATGCCCCAGACTGCATTCCGTTGTTTCAGTGACTACAATAAGTGCTTTTGTGACCTCTAGTGGTCATGGCTGGTAAAGGCTAAGCCTCCTTTAGGGGGTGGTCAGTTATGCGTAACCGCTTTTGTGAAGATGCAGGAGAAAGAGGAAGGAAGATTGCTACCAAATACTTTCCCCCTCTTTAAAAATAGTATGGAATTAACAAAGTGGATATAGAGGGAACACACCTCTACATGATAAGGGCAAGCCTACAGCCAGCATCTTACTCAAGCATGAAAAGCTGAAAGCATTTCCTCCAAGATCAGGAACAAGACAAGGTTGCTTATTCTTGCCACTTTTATTCAACATAGTATTGGAAGTCCTAGTCACAGCAGTCAGACAAAGAAAAAAGAAATAAAATGAATCCAAATTGGAAAGGAATAAACAAAACTATCACTGTTTGCAGATGACATGATACTACACATAGAAAATTTGAGACATTACCAAATAACTAGAGCTAATAAATGAATTCAATAAAGTTGCAGGATACAAATTAATATAAAGAAATGTCATGTTTCTATATACTAACAACAAACTATCAGAACAATTAAGAAAACAATCCCACTTATAATTGCATTAAAATAAGAATAAATCTAACCAAAGAGGGAAAATACTTGTACTCAGAAAACTTTAAGACACTGATCACAGAACTAGAACAAATTCTAAAATTAGTATGGAAACACAAAAGACCCTGAAGAGCCAAAGCAATTTGAGAAAGAAGAACAAAGTTGGAGGTATCACACTCCCTGATTTCGAACTACACTTCAAAGCTACAGTAATCTAAACAGTATGGTACTGGCACAAAAAACAGATCAAAGGAACAGAATAGTGGATCCAGAAATAAACCACACTTATATGGTCACTTAAGCTACAATGAAGGAGACAAGAATATATGATGGGGAAAAGACAGCCCCTTTAATAAATGGTTTTGGGAAAACTGAACAGCTATGTGCAAAAGAATCAAACAAGACTACTTCCTCACACCATATACAAAAATAAACTCAAAATGGATTAAAGTTGTAAATGTAAGACCTGAAACCATAAAACTCCTAGAAGGAAACAGAGGCAGTAAGCTCTTTGACATCAGCCTTAGCAGTATTTTTCTGGATATGTCTCCTTAGGCAAGAGAAACAAAAGCAAAAATTTTAAAAATGGGACTACATCAAACTAGAAAGCTTTTGTACAGCAAAGGAAACTATCAATCAAGTGAAAAGGCAGCCTACCAAGTGTAAGAAGATATTTGCAAATGATGTATCTGATAAGAGGTTAATATCCAAAATATACAAAGAACTCATACAACATAAAAAAAAAAAAACCTGATTTTAAAATGGGCAGAGGACCTGAATAGACATTTTTTTTTCAAAGAAAACATACAGAAACCAACAGGTACATGAAAAGATGCTCAATATTGTTAATCAGCAAATCAAAACCACAATGAGATACAACCTCACACCTACCAGAATGGCTATCATCAAAAAGACAACAAATAACAAGTGTTGGCAAGGATGTGGAGAGATTAGAACCCTCGTGTACTGTTTGTAGGATTGTAAATTGATGCAGCCACTATGAAAAACCGTATGGAGCCTCCTTTAAAAAATTAAATAGAACTGCCATACGATCCAGCAATTTCACTTCTGAGTATTGATCTGATGAAGATATAAAAAAATATAATTCAAAAAGATATAAACACTGCAATGTTTATTATAGTACTATTTACAATAGCCAAGGTATGGAAGCAACCTAAGTGTCTATCAATAGAAATCTTACCATTTGTGACAATCTAGATGGATCTAGCGGGTACTGTGCTAAGTGAAATAAGTGAGACAAAGAAAGACAAATATCGCATGATCTCACTTATATGTGGAATCTAAAAACAAACAAACAAAACAAAATGAAAACATTCACAGATACAGAGAACAAACAGGTGATTGCCAGAAGGGGAGCAGTGAAATAGGTGAAGGGGGTTAAAAGGTACAAACCTCAGTTATATAATAAATAAGTCAAGGGAATATATAGCATACGAATGTGGTCAATAATATCATAATAACTTTTTATAGGTCCAGATGGTTACAAGACTTATCTTGTGGGGAACATTTCATAATGTATGCAAATGTCAAGTCATTATGTAGTACACCTGAAACTAACATAATATTGTATGTCAACTATATTTCAATTAAAACAAGTTTTAAAAGGTACAAATGAACTTATCTACAAAACAGAAACAGAGTCACAGATGTAGAAAACAAACTTATGGTTACCAGGGAGTAAGGGTGGGGAGGGATAAATTGGAAGACTGGGATTGACATATACACACTACTATATATAAAATAGATAACTTATATGGACTTGCTGTACAGCACAGGGAACTCTACTCAATACTCTGTAATGGCCTATATGGGAAAAGAATCTAAAAAAGAGTGGATACATGTATATGTATAACTGATTAACTTTCCTGTACACCTGAAACTAACACAACATTGCAAATCACCTATACTCCGATAAAAATTTTTTAAAAAACCAAAACTAGGGCTTCCCTGGTGGCGCAGTGGTTGAGAGTCCGCCTGCCGATGCAGAGGACACGGGTTCGTGCCCCGGTCCGGGAAGATCCCACATGCCGCGGAGCGGCTGGGCCCATGAGCCATGGCCGCTGAGCCTGCGCGTCCGGAGCCTGTGCTCCGCAACGGGAGAGGCCACAACAGTGAGAGGCCCGCGTACCGCAAAAAATAAAAAAAAACCCAAAAACATTCCAAAACAACTGACTACAATTTAATTTCACAAGTAAATGATTCTTGTTCCTTTGGATCTGGGTTTGCCAATCAGCTTTCATACAGTTGCCTGCTTCTGGAACCAAGTCCTTGACTTTGTTTGCAGGTACACTCTTTAGAGTTGTCTCAGCAATGCCAGCTTTAAGCTCTGAAACCTATGCTAATAAATCAATTTCCTGAAATACCATTAAATACATAACTAAATAAATAACTAAATTTTTAATAAAAAATAAAATAAAAACAATATGCAACTGTACTTGCCTTTAACCAGCTCTCTGAATGACTTGTAGCAAGTTCATGATTGAGGATAACATGCTGATGAGGAGGTAGAACTAAATGCTTGACTCCTCTAGCTCCTCCCAGCTGAGAGCCTGTAGTTCTTTGAAACAGCAAAAGCCCTGAGTCTTGCT